AGAAATTTCAAATAGTTAATTTGATACTAATATCGATATATTTTTGTCAAATTTTTATGATATCGTCAAACATATATTTTATTCAAAAATAAAAACATTATCGCTTTCTCAAAATCACATAAAGCCATATTATAACATCGATTGAGATAAAAAAATAAAATGAAATATTAAAAACACGATGTATCTCGCTGCATTGCGCGAGTACGCTTCTAGTATATATATATATATATATATATATATATATATATTATATATGGATGAAAATAGATTTCATAAATCAGATTTCATAAACAACGTTTTTTATAATGTAAATTTTTAGATCATAAATTTGTGTAATATAATTTTTCGTCATCCAATTTATGAAATCTGATTTTCATCCATGTATATAATATAAATACGGCGATAAAAACATTGTTTTGTAGCTTTTTGAAGTTTATATGACGATATCGTTATTTCTTAATGAATTTTTTTTTTTTATAAAAATGTAATATTCTTTAAAAGATTTTCTATAATCTTTTTAAAAATAAAGAACTAAGAGTGAAATCTTTAAAAAGGATTGTGTTTACCTTCAACATATCCTTTATTTAGAAATTTTAACATTCATTATATTATTAAAATATTTTATAAATTTATTATTTCAATAAATTTTTAAAAAAATTTTATATAAAATAATAATAATTCAAATTCAATGGTGGAATGATTAAAACACTAATTTTTCTCTATCCACACATTCATTTTTAGAGAATTCTTTAAATTTAAAGTTTTATCTGGTTTTCTCTATTTTAAAAAATAATATATAGAAAGAAAATTAATTAAAATAATCATTTTGACTACATGGTTTTACTTCCTAGCCATATCTCTCCTACTTTTACCAAAATAGCCATAGATCCACAAAAAACTTGTGACAAATTTGGTCTATAAACTTAAAATAGTTACAGATTAGGTCCCTACACTTAAAATAGTTATAGATTAGGGCCCTATAGTTAGTGCACTACTTAAAATAATTACAGCGTAGGTCCCTGTGTTTAGAATATTTATAGATTAGGTCCTTGAACTTAAAAGAGTTATAGATTTGGTCCCAACACATATAATAGTTAAAAATTAGGTCCTTGTATTAGATTAGTTACATATTAGGTCCTTACACTTAAAGTAATTACATATTAGGTTCTTATAATTAATTTACTACTTAAAATAATTTTATAGTAGGTCCTTGCATTAGAATATTTACAGATTAGGTTCTTAAGATTAAAACAGTTACAGATTTGGTCTCTACACTTATAATAGTTACAAATTATGTGCCTGTAATTAGATTGGTTATAGATTAGGCCCTTATACTTAAATAACTACAAATTAGGTCCCTATAATTAGTGTACTACTTAAACTAGTTACATATTAGGTCCCTGCATTTAGAATATGTATAGATTAGATCCTTGAACTTAAAACAATTACAGATTAGGTCTTTGAACTTAAAATAGTTTCAGATATGGTCATTATACTTATGTACTTAATGATTTGATCCCTATATTCATAACATCTGATTGAATCACTACGTAGGAGGATTTTTACTGGGAATCGTTTACGCTCAAGTATCGGATATTTGTCGCATCAGATATAGAGGCTAACTTGACTCTTATAAGGTTAACCCTCTTTTGACACACCTGCTTTGATCCATGGCTGGATGTTACCATGGATAGTGGAGACCCCATGCTGATCCATATGTTTCTGCTGAGACAAGTCTTCCTCGAGAATGGAGGGGAATATGAGATATGGTTTGATATTGGTATACTTAATCTTCGATACATGCAGTAGGAGTTTTGTGTTTTGACAAGACTTCATTTCAGACCACAGAGCAGCCTGCCTACCCTACGAGAGGACTCTTTCATCCATAGGTTATTCCCAATTGCATTGGAACCTACACCATGAGATCTCACACACCTAAAGATTTTTGAGGTGGTTACGTAGTTTCATGACTTGGAGGGTCTATCAGATGCTAATGTTGTCCAACTATTTTTGTTTAAGTTGGTGGAGGTGGGTTTTCTTGGTCATCAGAAGCATCAGCTTATTAGTGACACACTAATCAGGGTCGTAGAGGATCTTAGAGTATGGAACAGTTTCCATGGGAAGCCTACGTCTGGGCAACCACCTTCAGGAAAATCAATGGTGCCATCCAAAAACGCATCGACCAGAGAGAAAATATGACCATGACGAGATTCTTTCACACCTTCAAGGTTAGTTGATTATTATCAGTTAAGTATTTATACATTTGATGTTGGTTTCTATTTTTAACTCCACCTACTTGTTTGTATGGTTGTATAATTTTATATATAGATCTTGGAGATGTTTCCCGTCTCTTAGACGTACTTTATCTGTAAAGATAGGTTTCTTAGGATAGTTAATTGGGAGAAGAACATCC